TTTTTTAACCGAATTCTGAGATAGGGCGTTCTTCAATCAAATTCTGAAGCAGGGCGTTCTTTAATAGTTTTCTGAGATAGGGGAGATAGGGTTTTCTGAGGAACTCACTTGAATTAGTTTGCTCAAGAGTGCCTCTTTGAAATGCCGCTGCTGAAGTACTGCTTTCTGCTCTCTCGCACCATTCTTCATTATCTATGATCATCAAAGCTTCATTTTGTTTTAAATAATGCTCCAGAATTGCGTCACCACAAACTTCGGTTCCGTCGGACTCTAAGACTATTTTGGACCATTTAATACCAAAATTAAGTGCTGTAAATATTTGGTTTTTAGTATGTCACATAATGTATATTATATACAGACTTTTAAATATACCTGCTTGTATTAATGTATCCGTAGATGCTAAAGTCATAAGCGTTTTTTTGGTACGTCTATCAGCGCTCCATACCTTGCACACGTACTCAGCCATTGCAATTATGTATGTACTTTATTATTTACGAATATATATATGGGTAGCTCTAACTATAATATATATGTTATATGTGCTTATTTATGTATGTAAGTATATGTTTTAGGAAAAAAAGTGATATTTAAATTAATTCTAATCTTTCTTTTCGACAAGTGTTGAGAATAAAGAAAGATAATATTTATTTTTTACATACAAAACGTGAACTGGATTTTTAATTAGGATATCACCTAAGTTTATTAAACTATACGACCTTTCAAATTGATAACATTCAAATAAAACTATTCTGTAGTTGTACCACATCTTTGTAATAGCACCGTAAAAGATCGCATTTTCGCAATTAGCGTCCAAAAATATTGAGTTAATTTTAAGGACTGTTATATTGCCCAGGTCGTCAGAATCAATGACAATGAAATGGTATTATTTGTATTCTGTGCCATGGAATTTAATTTGTTTTGTAACGAGTGTAAAACTTGGGGATAAATTAAAATTAAACATGTTTTCAGAAATAAATTCGTAACTATTGCAAAAAATTTTTAATTGAAATCTGGTTTCAAAAAGGTTGGCTTGCATTTGCTGATGTTTTTCAGAAAGAGTTAAAGATACATTTTTAAAATTTTTCATCGTTTTAGATATTTTTTAAAAATATTGATGTTTTTGTTCAAAGCGCATGGTCCATAAATTTTTAAGGGGACCATATTCTCTTATCAGATGTGACATATATAATGATGTTTTGGCCGCAACTTTGAAAGTGGAAAACATTCTCTTCTATATTCCATATATAGTGTGATACAATGTGAAAGTAAAGAGATTTGATTTTCATCTAACTCAGAGCTGTTTATCAACCTACACATTTCAATCATTACAGTGAGAAACTTCCACACCGGATCTTTATTTATCGATGACTTGTTCAAAAATATGAAGGGAAATATCATTAAGAAATGTAGGATTTCATCGGCCTTTCCTGGAATTTTTTTTCATATTGAGGTTAACATGTGAGAAAGACAGTTTTAATTTAAATTTTTTTTCTCAATGATGAAAGGCTCATATTTATGTAATCAATTGAAATAACATCTTGTATACACATATATTTACACACTTCCATCAAATCGTAGGGTATAATGCCTTCAAATAAATGGTGTGATATGCAGGGAGGAAGTCCCTCACAAACATGAAAGTAGCCTAATTCATTTAAACATGAGTCTTTTTTTTATTCCCATACCAAAATCAGGAGGATTTGAAAGGTTATTAAGGCATGCTTTATAGTTTTGGCGGGTACGCTTTTCACCGATATCTACATTAAAAGATATTAAATTTTCTCTCTTGAACAAACAATATCGACACATAAACTTGCTTGAGCTGAAGTTTTCAGTGTAGCCGCCTATTTGGTGGCTGCCTAAATTGTCACCAAGCATTGAAAATAAAGTTCCACGATAGTTCTGGTTAGAACCGTCTAAAAGAAAGTCAATTCCATTTTCTTCTTGTTTTCGTAAATCGCATATTAAAGGAGCCATATTTTTTTCAAATCCGAATAACTTTATGTAAGTATCTTTACAAAGCAAAACTAATTGGATATTATGAATATTTGATCTAAATTCTTTTGGAATATTTCCAATCATCATATAAACGCCTAGCAACTTGTGCTTCTTTTTAGACGAAGCTAAAGGATTGCAGTTTTCGAAGGCATCCTGAAATAAAAGCAATTCAATTCTGTTCAAATTTTCATTGAAAAATGCTTTCTGCTTGTATATTAAACCATCATTATAATCGGAATAACAATTCACATTAGACACTTTTTTGCTACTAAAAAGTTTAAAAACTATTTTATCACGCAATAGAACTTCAAGTGTTTTAAGAATTGGAATATAATGAAAAATACATTTCTTGTGATATTGATCAAAACCAAGATGAATTTCTTTCGGAGAAACGTAATTATTTTTATTTCTTAAGAAATAATTTCTTTTATATGCCGACTCAGATTAAGCAATTTCGGAAATTAAACTTTTGTTTGATACCGCACTTGAAAAATTTCTTTGTATTCTGACAAATTAAGAGTATCACATAAATCAGAAATGTATTTTCTCTTTTCTTTATCATGGCATTCTAAAATATCTTTTAACTCAATTACAAAAGAATCTAAGGCAATATCGCTGACCCCAAATTTACATTTCAATGTTGCGAAGAAGTTTTGAAAGGATTTGGAGCTAGAGCTTTGAGGGTTATCTATTAAGCGTTTCTCCAAATGCGTAGTTTCTTCATTGGAAGGAGTATCAAGTGCCTCTTGATCTGATGGCTTTGCTCCTTTTACCCTTTTATGCTTTCTGAAAACGTGCATCTTAAAACAACCAGAGTTTACGAAAGATTTAGAACAGTCAAAGGGGCAAACAATCAAAGTTTTGTTAAACAAATGTATCTGTATGTGAGAAGTCATATCTTTAACACTTTTTGTTTTGAAAATGCAAGCCGAACATTTGTAGTCTACATTTACGTTATTTTCACAATCTTTTACAGCACTGTTGTGATGTCGATACAAGTGCACATCGAATGAATAATAACTCTGAAATGTTTTTATGCATCCTGGTTGCAAACACTTAAATTCAACACATTTATAATTTTTGTGCAAATACAGGTGCCTATTATAAGAGTTAATATCACTTAAACTAAGGTTACAAATCGTACACAGTAACATACTAACGTTTTTTACAATAATATAGTACAGAATTTGATTATTTTACGCTTATTTACACTTCTATTTTCCCGACGCCACAGAGCAACACACAATTTCGCAATCAAATCTTTACCGCGTTGTTAGGAGTGGCAATTTTTGCATCGCGAATATGTGCAGCCTAAAGCGGCGAATACACGAGGAACATTGTTACAAACACAAGTTTCAAACATGCAATATTACTGTCAATGTTACCCATGTGTGGGCAGTCATTGCGTCATATTTAAGTGCATATAAAAACTTTATAACCATAATATAAAATATATAAACCATTTTAACTTGGAACGTACAAGTGTTTTATCGATTATATCATTAACTTTGAAATTGAAAGCATACCTTCGCTAACCTCATTTCGATAGTTCTGTTGAGCAAAGAACCGTTATATCTAATTCAGCTGCTGTGGTGTGCGTAAATTTACTACGAAAGCTAAAAAATACACATCAGTTGTTTAATTTCACCCGTAAAATTGTGTAAAGTCGCTAACAAAAAGGATTTTTACACACGAAAATGTGTAAATTAGAAAAATTCATATTTATCATGTAAATTTACGAAAAAATTGCAAAAATAAACAAAAACATACTCGATTTATAGTCGCACTTTTAAACAGACTTTTTGGAGTGTAATTTAGCTGCTGTGGTGTGCGTAAATTTTACTACGGTAGTGTGTACAAGCTACAAAATACACATCTGTTGTTTAATTTCACCCGTAGAATTGTGTAAAGTCGCTAAAAAAGGGATTTTTACACACGAAAATGTGTAAACGTGAAAAATACATATTTATCGTGTAAATTTACAAAAAAATTGTAAAAATAAACAAAAATATACCCGATTTTTAGTCGCATTTTTAAACAGACTTTTTAGAGTGTAAGGTAGTGTTACAGGAGCAGTTGAAATTTTCGCCCGATGCTTCTTAAAGAAAGCCATAAAAGTAGCTACCGTTGGTTCAACTTGGTATTATTGTGCTCTAGATTGCACTGTTTGTGGGCCTGTTGAATGAACTTATGTCTTGGTTGTATGAAAGATCAAAAAATTTGGATTTTCTGGCAAGTTGTACAACTTATCGCTACATTAATGGCCATGTTGTACAAACTCATTTAATTTGCGTTATTTTGTACACTAAATAACCGAAAATGGATAACTCAGCCGAAATAGGTACGTGCTTTCGTTGAATTTTATAAATGTAAGCCGAAACCATGAAATTGTAAAAATTAGATTTTACCACGAGACTGCTCGCAAAATTGCAATGTTTGTGGGCAAAACGTCCAACTTGATTGTGGATTGATTTGAAGCAACGTTTTCGGCTTGCATTATGTCAAAAGGACGTGTTTGTTGTAATTCATTCTGTCATTTACTACCATTATGCGTAGGCCAATTCATGAAATCATTTCATGTGTTTGAGTAGAAACTGAATGAATGAACACCATTTCATGATTACAATTAACGCGAAATGAAGTTTATGCACTGAGTTTTTACTCAGATCGATGAAATGATTTCGTGAATTGGACTACGCATGCTTTTAATTTATAAGGTAATTTTATGTTTTTATACTCTTGCTACCACATGAATATATGAATTCGTGATAAGAATATATGAATTCGCCTTGGAAGATAGAAAACGAGTAAGAATAAATGCCGAACAAAGGAATTTGTCTTCTTTCAACTTAAATAAATGCATTTTGCAAACAAAAGTGCGTACGTTACTTAGTGCCTTGGTAATGGAGAATTCGTAAGGATCTATTGATTGCATTATAAACATTTTCATTTATTTGTTAAACATACAATTACTTCCATTACAACCCGGTCCTATGGATGCTAGAAGCGCGAATTCATATAAGGTGCTGTTACCGGAAAATGAATAAATAAATTATATGTATATCAGAAAATTAATAAGATGAAATGAAATTATTGTTTGATTTGTAACCAAACCTATGTATGTAACTCAATCGCCTAATGGTTTGCCGAACCGTAAACATATGTTTACACATCCAATTTCGTGAGTAGGTACCTGGTACCCACACCTTTTTTAAGAAGTTTCACTTCTATCATGTGTACAGTGTTACACACGCATTTTTTTTTAATGTGTTCAAATTACATGAGTGCAAAAGAACTTACTAACAATTGCAATAAACGGAGTGTTAGTTGGAATTCTGCCCACAACTTCTGGCAGAGTTGTTCCAATCTGAAACAAGTAACAATTTAGCAAGTTGGTTGTTTATTGCATATGTACAAAAGGGTTCTTAATGTTACCTCAAAGATGAGGAATAAATAACTTTCATTTTCATTGAAGTATTTAAGAACACTTTGTATTATTATGTTTTCAGAGCATTATTCTTTTTCGAATGCTTTCATAGTTTCCTTGTTATGCATGGTTTCGA